CAAATGGGAGAAGAGGTGTATGTTGTACACTAAATGGCTGGGACCAAAAATAGCAGCAAATTTTGACACCGCAACCTTGGAAACATCAATTAAAAAATTAGCATAATGTTGTGAAAAAAAGGTGAACAGCCTATGAAAGTGGTTACCGAAAAATACATGAAACATTCGTAAACGTCAGGGTGTAAGATGTCTCGTAAAACAACGGGTCCTATGTACAGAAGAAACTGTCGTAGCTCAGATGCCTTCCACCGATCCAGGTCTACGACACCTCTACATTTTCGGGGGAAATCAATACTCAGAGCCAAACTCTGTTGCTCAATGTTAGCATTCAGCAGATTCCAGGACTCCAAAGAAAGCCTGGCCTTGTGTCCAATTGGCATAGCTCTGAGTAAGATGAGAAAAACCCGCACTAAACCAAGACACACGCTATGCATGTAATCTGGTGGGAAACCGTCAATCATGGGAAAATTCAACTCCTCCATCGGACTTGGACCTATATGGTGCTTCTCTTGCATTCTGGTCCGGAAATCATAGTCACGACGCAGGGGAGCTGTCAACGAGGGAAAAGTTATACGTGTGCCAATGTGCACACCCTTTTGTGTACAATAATCACAGCCATAATATCCTGTATCTCCCTTCACTTGCTTCAGAAAGGCCCTAGCAGGACTATCACAAATAATGCACTGAAGACGGACGGTATGAGTATTGCAAACCCCGGAGACACCGTTCGCCAAGACGTCTGTCAACACATGTGTTATTCGGTTTCCAGGATGGGGCCCTCATGACTCATCCTGTGCTTGACTGGAGACGCTAAACTATATGGTGGCTAACAGGTTTTAATGACGTTCATGCTGTCATTCTATCCAAAGTTTGTCCGTTTGAGTGTTGAAGGTGTTTGTTGTAGACTAGCCCTAGGCCCCATTCCCGTCCCATTTCCTCCTTCATGTTATAAGGCTTTATTCAAATGAAATAACATTGTTGCGCAACGCAGAAGCACCAGAAGCCTCATCCGGTGTTGCTGTCGGTGATGATGATCTATTTTCAGCTCGGAAGCCTGTTGCTCAACAGGGAGCTGTGTGATGGAAAATCTTAGTCTTATCCAAACTGACTTATCTGTGAACAAAACTTCCGTCTGTCCTACAGGTTCCTTACACATTTTATTTGGTAACAGTTCACTCAGACCAGTCCCCTTTCTGTTGTAGCTGGCTATCCATCTGGTGTCATTGCTGTTGGAATCGTTCAGTGCAGGACACAATGGTCTGGATGATCGTATCATCCAGTTCATAACTACCAATGCTTTTGTTCAACCCGTCATCGGATTGGCCCACTCTCTGCTGTTGCGAGGGCAAGCAGTGGGGGCTATTTTACGTCTCGTGCGCGCAATTGGTCGACGCGCGATTCGAAGTGGGCAGGAGCAAGGTGGAATCATGACGGTGGGTCTCGCCGCTGTGCAGTTGTCTACTTTAACGTTTAAAACAAATTCATTGAAGTATTTTTTAGGTGATTATCGGGAGCGGTGAGCATGTCTCAACAAGTGCTAGTTCTGGTGATTAGTCTCGTAGCGATGACATAAGCTGAAAGCATCTTTTCCACAGTTAGTGGCTATCTTCTATCTTTAGCTTCCGAATCCATCGTGCCATACACAAACCTCCCTGTGAATTCCTCTTGTTCAAGCTGTTCATCACCAGTTTAGCGAAAGAAGATCATTCAGGTGGTCGAAGGTGGTCATTCTGTGTATACATTTCAACAGAGACTTGACAGCTGGCCGATGCCAATGGCGTTCATGCTGTCGATCATTTTCCGTCCAGTTTGTCTGACTGGGTGTTGGAGGTGTAGGCATCTCGGAATTTCGTTGTAGACTTGCCATAGGTCCCTTTCCTTTCCCTGCCCAGTTTGTCTTCCCAAAAATAGAGCCTTATTTGAATAAATTGACATAGTTGCATGGCAGTGAATCACTATTGTTATCATCTGGTGTTGCTGTCAATTGCGATGATGGTGAAAACGATGAAAATGCGCAACAAGTGCTAGGGTCCGTGGGCTTTCGTCATTCACATTCCAAGTTCCTACAAACACCGGTAAGCTCCACTGGCATCGCGATAAATGTTGTCGATTACCGAATCCATCGTGCCATACACAAACCTCCCTGTGAATTCCTCTTGTTCAAGCTGTTCATCACCAGTTTAGCGAAAGAAGATCATTCAGGTGGTCGAAGGTGGTCATTCTGTGTATACATTTCAACAGAGACTTGACAGCTGGCCGATGCCAATGGCGTTCATGCTGTCGATCATTTTCCGTCCAGTTTGTCTGACTGGGTGTTGGAGGTGTAGGCATCTCGGAATTTCGTTGTAGACTTGCCATAGGTCCCTTTCCTTTCCCTGCCCAGTTTGTCTTCCCAAAAATAGAGCCTTATTTGAATAAATTGACATAGTTGCATGGCAGTGAATCACTATTGTTATCATCTGGTGTTGCTGTCAATTGCGATGATGGTGAAAACGATGAAAATGCGCAACAAGTGCTAGGGTCCGTGGGCTTTTGTCATTCACATTCCAAGTTCCTACAAACACCAGTAGGCTCCACTGGCATCGTCCTAAATGTTGTCGATTATACCTAAAGTCCTTCGGAAGGTTTTCTGAACCTTTGCATTGGTGTGTGTAGTTTTAACAGCACACAAGTTTCGAGTTGAAGAGAGCTCCCTAGGCAGTTTGATCAGCTTTTCCCCCAATGGATCTTGAAATTTAGATATCTCAGCTCGCATTTCAAAGTTTGAACTCAGATTGCCTCAGCGCGCCGTTGAACAGTTGCTACTAAATGATCAAACTCTCCAGTCGAACCATCCTCTTCACTTCTTTCTCCCTCCTGTCGCAAATGATCACACCACAGCCACTTCGATTTTCCTCAGGTCGAGCGTACATTTCGAACACGTCAGGAATTGTTGAGGCCATCGTTAAGCCTTTTTCGATAGATTTTGGCCAGCAAATGACTCTCGAAATCTAAACGTTGGCTGTGGCCAGACTGTGACAGTTCTGATTTGTTCATCATTATCCTATTTTTGTCAGACCAAGTCGATGGGGCTTAATGACGCACACACAAAAGACTGCGAATACAATAAAGTGAGAAAAATAAAAAGTAGAGAATGTCAGTCCTAGAACTGCTTTGAAACAATAAGATAAATTTCTATTGATGAAATGATGCAACTCAAAGCCAGTTGACTTTTGATATCTTCAAAATAGGATAGTGGTTTTCAACCAACGAAAAATACACCATCAACTGTGAAAATTATAATCGGTCCGTTTCATCTGATGCTTTAGTCAGAATTTGTCGACAACAGTTTCCGTGCACTTGATATTATTTACCTAATGCTGCTGATAGATATGTAGTCTGCGTAGACATCATAAGCTGGGTCTCATACTATTCCGAGTTCGCCAGTGAGACTCTACGCTGTCAAACTGTCGGCATACTGTAAAACAACTGGTCACCTTACGTGCATCTCATCTTTGTTCCCGCTGCACGCTTTTAGGCCTAGACAAGTATACGGTGATTGAGAATCCACAGTTTGAGACGTTCCAGTTACTTGTGTCGGGTCAGCAATGTACCCAGAATAAGCTCACCAGTACACTGACGGATGGCCAAGTGATAAAATGAGTCGGGTGACGAGTGAAATTTGCAGCATTACTTCACCTACCCATGCCCGGTTTGGTGTAGTGCTGGTGTATTGCGTGTGTTATAGGCTGGTTTTACGCGACTTTCATTTATAGGTTTCTAAGCTGGTTACTTTATTTTTATGGGTGGAGATCTGCTTTTGTTTTCTTACGAGGCCTTAATGTTCCCGGAACAAGCAACTACATCGCTCCTCGACACGGTTACTAAGATCCTGTATGTTCTGTAAGCAAGGTTATCTCTCATAGAAACAAGGAAAATTCACTCCACTTGAGTTTGCGGTTGCCATACGGAAAGAACAATGTTGGTGTTAGAAACAAAGTTCAAATTTCAACTGTCTGTAAAAGCAATCCGAAAATATGATAGAGACAACTTCGTAGCTACTGGCCTGGAAGACACTCACTGTATCGAGAATGTCCCGGTTCGTGAGTCTTAGGAAATTAGGGATGCTGAATGGACGCAGATCACCATTTGCCTCTACTTCTGACGACTGTTCGATAACTTTCACTTTGGTGTATGAAAAAGCACATTGTCGACTTGGAGATGGGTTCACGTTGTACGTTCCCCATTGCCGAACTTCTCCAAAATGAGCGACGTTTGTTATTAAGATCATTATTTTTACAATTTAAGGGGGTGCAGTGTGAAGTAGGCTGAGTTGCTGCGTAATGTGCTCATTGTGTTCACTTTTTGAAAGAAGATTGTTTGTCATTTTTATGAATCTCTCGCGAACTTTTCCGCTCCATTCGTGTCGTTATCGCACCTTCGTCTGATGTTTTAAAAATTCACTGCATGTATAATAACCTCTTCGGTCTCTTCGCCCACCTTATTTTAGTTGTTCTTGTCGCGGCTCCTGGCTCCGTTGAATGGCAGTGGGCTGTTGGTGGTTTCGAGTTCTACCTCTTCTGTCCCCCTTCATCGAGACGCCCTGCTTAGTCTTGCTCAGTGCGTGGCCGAACTGCTAGCCGAGTTGCCCACGGATTCCTCCTCTAGCAAAGCTTCCAGTTCGGTCGCATCCGTTGGTGTCGCTGTAGACCGCCTAATTGCAGCCGTCAGGGTAAGATATCTGAACTTGCCATTCAATCTTCAACTTTTTTTAATTTGTGGCCACCGTACGATTCAAAATCGAGGACTGAGTTTAACCGTATTTGCCTTTAAGTTTCCCCAGAAGATAGGTATAGGCGAGAACTGCGTAGTATGCTTCTCTTTATTCGTCTCATAACCTCTCCAGAAAAGGCAGTTCGAAGTTAGCTAACTAAATCGCGTATAATGTAATTGATCGTTCTGTTGTACCGATTGTCCTCTAATGATACTACCACATTACTGTGAAGACGTCCCCTTCTCCCCCTCCCCATCGAGGCAATGGTTCGTAACTGAATGCCAGTTCTGCAAGGTAAGCCTATGCCCCTTTTCAGTTGTTAAACACAACAGTTTATAATGTGGGTGCCATCCTCGTCATTCAAAGTCTCAAAGCTGCTACACCTTACGGTGTTTCCTGAACATATAACGCGTATATGGCGTCCAGGGAAGAATAATCCGACAGTTTATGGATCCTGGCACTCGTTTTCCGTCGCCCGTGGTTGTTCACAAAAGTATTTGAGAAGACTTCATTCATCGACTAACTTCGTCATTGTTGTGGACGATATAGTTCCCGATGTGTACAACTGTGTCATTGATCGCTCAACGTCAGTGCCAAGGATTTTAAAGTTTCATGAACAGGAATAATCACCTCAAGAACATTAGGGCCAATAGGGCTGCTGTCAGGTATGATTTACTGGGTGGTTCTCATTATGTAGAACGAACGGGTGTTTTCTTTCCGAGAGCGAGGTATTCACACAGCACTAGCATAAGAGTAGGGAAGCCGATTGGGCCAAAAAACAAGACATGGCAGTTCAATCACACCGGTCGACCTGAATTATCTCAATGCGGCCGAATAGTGCTCAGACGTCAGCCATCAATTAGGGATGTTCACTCAGAGGCCGTCTGGGATAGAACAAAACAAGAAAGCAAATGCTGCATCGACCAATTGTTTACACGTACATTATGGAGCCAAAAACAGATCAATAGATTGCTGGATCAATAT